TGTATCAGTGGGGCACTCCAAGCAGCGGGAGTGACTTTGTTAGCCCAGCTTGGAGCTCTAGTTTTTGGCTCTCGCGTAAATAGAAATTAATACCTACTGGGCGCGGTGGCTCACGCCTGTAATACCAGCACTTTGGGAGGCCAAGGCGGATGGATCACCTGAAGTCAGGAGTTTGAGACCAGCTTAGCTAACATGGTGAAACCCTGTCGCTACTAAAAATATAAAAATTAGCCGGGTGTGATGGCACGCGACTGTAGTCCCAACTACTCTGGAGGCTGAGGCAGGAGAATCGCCTGAACCCTGGAGGTGGAGGTTGCAATGAGTTGAGATCATACCACTACAGTCCAGCCGGGCGACAGAGCAAGACTCTGTCTCAAAACAACAACAACAACAACAACAACAACAAAAAACACCAGGCCAAAACAAAAGTTTTACTCAGGCAAGGTTTCATAGGCTTGCAGCTGGAGCAACACACGGGAGCATTGTACGGGAAAGGGATCCTGGTGCTAGCTCCTGGAAGGACTTGGCTCTTGTCATTTTAAGGTAGCTGAGGCAAGAAAAAAAGGAGTGGCATGTAGGCATGTAGAGATGGGGAACTTTTAGCACCTGTGCAGTTTGACCACGTGTTTCTCATGCATATGTCTCATTAGCGCGTTAAATCTCCAGCCCTGGGTGTGATTTTTAGTATTACGGTATGATTATAATGAGGAAAACTTGGTGAAAGGTCAATGCTGGAGTCCATCTTGTCTTCAGCCAACTGCACCTGGTCTGGTTCTTGTCAGGAATGCCAGAGGCCTGCTTTTAGTAACCTTGGGAGACAGCACTCGAAGAGGTAAATGGTTAGTTTCTTATTTTTATGGTTACAAATTCAGCCTGGTCAGCTAACTTAGGAGAGGGGTCCCCCTTTGCTATGTGATGTGGGTCAGCTCGTTAAGGGATACAAGAAGGCAGCGGAGGGAATATGCCTGGACATGTGAGGCTCAGGGGGTCTTGGTGACCTAGTCTCTTGTCTTCTCTATACTGTCTTAGGTCAGGACATGGGGCGGTCATGGAGAGCCTGTCTCTGCTCAGGAATGGTGGGGCTGGGGTTTGGGGGCAGGGTGGTTTGGTTTGTCTAACCTGGCTTGTCTTCTAAGGAGGTGGTAAGCATCATGTTTCAGGATAGTGAGCCTCCCCCCACAAAAGCTTTCCATCTACACTCGTGGGCATGTCAGTGGTGTGACATGCCACTGAGTGACTCCACTTTGCTGGTCATTTTATGCCCAGCAGTGCTTATATAGTCCAGCAGTTCACACTGGAAAATACAGAAATCACAGGACCACTCCATCTGTAAGCATTATGTTCACAGGTTAGTGTCACAGAATGAAGGGGCAGAAGAAGATGCTAGGGGCCAGTCCCTAGTCTGGCATGACAGAGCCCCTGCCCTTACCAGCATGTGGATCAGCCAGAAAGATGGTGGGGGGCTGGAGCTGCTCATCCTAGCTGCTCTCCAGAGCCGCTTCTGTGTCTGTCTTCCAGGTTGGTGGTGACATCCCATTAGTGGCTTGAAACTGACAGTGGTGACAGTATTTATTTTATTTTATTTATTTATTTTTTGAGACAGAGTATCACTCTTGTTGCCCAGGTTGGAGTTCAATGGCATGATCTTGACTCACTGCAACCTCCACCTCCCAGGTTCAAGTGATTCTCCTGCCTCAGCCTCCCAAGTAGCTGGGATTACAGGCATGCACCACCACACCTGGCTTTTTTTTTTTTTTTTTTTTTTTTTTTTAAAGTAGAGACAGGGTTTCTCCATGTTGGTCAGGCTGGTCTTGAACTCCCAACCTCAGGTGATCCGCCCGCCTTGGCCTCCCAAAGTGCTGGGATTACAGGTGTGAGCCACTGCACCTGGCCGACGGTATTTATTTGAAACTGACGATGGTGATGATATTTAGATGAAATTGGCCCATACTATCATACTGTAGATCAGGGCTTTGTTTACCAGTGCAGCACTAGCTGTGAACAAGTGCCGTGTGATGATGAAAGTCCTCACCAGGTATAGGATGGCACAGCCTGGGCTGGGACTGACTCTACTGGGTAGAGTTAAGGAGGCAGGGCTTACACAGTGTTGAAGGATGAGCTGTGAAGACAGAGTGGTAAAGGGAGGCCCAGACAAGTGTGGGATGGCAAGACATATCCTGTGGTTCCGTGAAAGGAAACTGTGGATGTGAAGGCACTTGGCAACTTAATACAAGGTGTCAAGCAAAAAGGTGTCGAGTAAACAAATCCAACATAGGATGTATAAAGTGAACTGATTAGGGCTGGGGAGGGGTACCCATATCATAACACATTAACCTTTGCTCTTTAGCTGGCAGGATCTCTAGGGATTTCAAATGTGGCTCAACAAGGCCTTTGCCCAACTCTTTGGTAAAGGGGAACCCAGGCTTTGGAGAGGGACTTGGCGTAAGGAAGTGAATGGGCTGCAACACTCTGGGGCTGCCAACTAACCTGGAAATGTTGACAAAGGTTGTGCCCTGTGTTTTGGTGGTGGGACGGTGGGAGTGGCAGGGAATTTGGCAGGAAACGGGACCAGGAAAACAAGTGGAGAGGGTCAGATAGAGCAGGCTGAGCGTGCACTTCTTCATGAGCTTCAGAGCCAGGCAGCCCTGCCTCAAAGCTTGTTTTGCTGTCCTTTGTGTCAGGTGGGGTCCTGGGTGCCATGAGTTGCTTAGTGAGCCCCCATTGGTCTCTGTGCCTCAGACTGGGGTGAGTGTGTCACCGGACTGTTTCCACAGCTCGGTTGGTGCCACACTGTCCCGAAGGTTCTGAAGCAGACTGAGGTCACCAGGCTGTCTGGGCAGACGGAGCTGCCAGAGTCCCGTCCCTCCCTTTGATGGGCCTGTTATCAAGGTTGTTTTGCTCCCAGAGCTGATCACAGGCCTCGTTTCCCAGCCAGCCACCCACCCCCATCAGCCCAGAGTCCCCTGGGACACAGGCAGATGTAGGCGGTCAGTGTGGAGAGACTGCAATTCAGGAAGGGGATGGGCTGAAATTTCTTGGGCCAAGAAACTGGCCCAGGACTGACCTTGGCTAAGCCCCTACTAATGACATACTGATGTTTTTTTATTTTTATTTTTAGACATTCTTGCTTTGTGGCCCAGGCTGGAGTGCAGTGGTGTGATCTCGATTCACTGCAATCTCCGCTTCCTGGGTTAAAGCAATTCTTGTGCCTCAGCCTCCCAAGTAGCTGGGATTACAGGCATGCACCACCATGCTTGGCCTATTTTTGTATTTTTAGTAGAGACAGGGTTTCACTATGTTCATTAGGCTGGTCTCGAACTCCTGACCTCAAGTGATCCGCCTACCCTGGCCTCCCAAAGTGCCGGGATTACAGGTCTGATCTGTAAACAACTGGGATTACAGGTGATTACACCTAGCCTGATGATTTTGTTGTTGTTGTTTGTTTTTTTGAGATGGAGTCTCACTCTGTTGCTAGGCTGGAGGGCAGTGGTGCGATCTGGGCTGACTGCAACCTCCGCCTTCCGGGTTCAAGCTATTCTCCCGTCTCAGCCTCCCAAGTAGCTGGGATTACAGGCGCCTGCCACCACGCCTGGCTAATTTTTGTATTTTTGGTAGAGATGGGGTTTCACCATGTTGGCTAGGATGGTCTTGATCTCTTGACCTCGTGATCTGCCTGCCTCGGCCTCCCAGTCAGACTGTTTTAAGAGTAATTTGTAAAAGGAAGCTGGAAATTTGGAGTGAATAAACGGGTGGTTAGACAAATGCTGTGTGATTTAGGCTGCCGTTTACAAAACAGAGTGGCTGCGTCCCAGGCTGCACATTCTGAGGTGTGGGCAAGTGGGGACCTTGGCCACCCCTGCACTGGGAGCTCTGGCCCAAAGGCAGACCAGGGTCATGAGGCTAGGCCCTTCTTAAGAGGGTGGAGGGCTTTTGGAGGTGCTAAGGGCATGAGATCACGGAGTGGTGCCTGCTGCTGGCCTTCAAGCACGCAGGGCCCGTTTGGTGGTGGTCCTCATGAAGTAGTCACACCAGTGGGTGCTTAGGGTTCCCTCAGGCACCCATTCTAATTGTCCCTCGGCATGCATGGGACCATACCTAGGGCAGGAACTGAGAGCTGACAAGTGTTGTGTTCCCGGCGTTGCTCCTTCAGCTGGGATGGAGCCCTTGGCAGCATAAAAGGGTAAACTGAGTCCAGGTGAGATCGCCACAGGGTCTCACCCAGGACAGTGAGGGGCTCACAAGAAGCACATCCCTGCTCACAATTCGCACTCAGACTCACCCGTCCACCGATGGTGCTGCCATCACTGCTGCACATTTGTTCTCCATCTTTCTCACATTTTTGCCAAGCAGAAGGCCGAGCTCACCTAACCTGGATGCGGTCAATGAGATTGCACTGCGTGCCCCCTCCCGCCCCTAGTGCAGCGGCGGTGTGAATGCACACCCGCCCTTGCTTGCCCTCCCTGCCTGGCTGCCAGCTCTGCTCCTGCTGTTCCCTGTGCCCATGGCGCTCTCTTGCTTATTCTGTTAAGGCTGACCTACCCTCAGAGGCCCACCTTGGCCATCCACAAGCCTCCTTTTGAGAACTGAGCCCTTTCCCTGAGTTCCCACAGCACGCTGTGTGAAGCTCTAAACTTTCTCCAGGCTGAACTTAGCTGAGCTTATTCGTGGCTGTTCCCGTCCTCAGGACCGACACAGCAAGTGCTCCGTAAGGGCTTGTTAAACTACTCTCCTGGAACTCCTAGCCCCCGCCAAGAGTCCACCCTGACTACCTCCTGCAAGAGCACTGAGCTCCTGGGTGCCAGGCCTAGCTCGGAATTTTCACAGACACCAGCTCGTTTAAGTTGCATAACCCTGGAAGGGGTTGTTGCCTGATGCGGAAACAAATCAGAGACGTTCAGTGACTTGTCCAAGGTTACAGAGCCTTGGAGCTCTGGATTCAAACCCACGTCACTGTGACTCAAGACCAGTGTTTTTCCCCGTTGTAAGCAGACACAAAAGAATAACAGTGCTTTATCATTTATACTGTATTCTCACGTACATTATTTCATTTGATCCTCACAACAGCCCTGTGAGGTAGGTAGGGTTATGTATTACTGTTATGCCCATTTCACAGATGAAGAAATGGAGGTGGCTCAGTGAGGTGAGTGACTTACATAAAGTCACACAGCATGTTAGAGGCTTCACTGCTTCTGCAATTTCTCTAAAGTCAAGCTGCTTGGATTAGGGAGCACCGAAAAGATGGACAGTTTTATGGAAAAGGAAAAAGGGCAGTGGTGATTTGTAAGATTTCTTCCTCACATTGTTTTGTTGTGACCACAGCTTTTGCTACTTGGTCTAAACTGGGTTCTCCATGAAGGGCTTTCCCAAGTACTCTTGGCCTGGGACAGCTGTTTGTTTTTGGGATGGAGTCTCACTCTGCCGTCCAGGCTGGAGTGCAATGGCACACTCTCAGCTCACTGCAACCTCTGCTATCTGGGTTCAAGAGATTCTCCTGCATCAGCCTCCCAAATACCTGGGGTTATAGGCGCCTGCCACCATGCCCAGCTAATTTTTGTATTTTTAGCAGAGGTGGAGTTTCACCATGTTGGCCAGGCTGGTCTTGAACTCCTAGACCTCAGGTGATCTTCCCGCCTCAGCCTCCCAGTGTTGGGATTACAGGCATGAGCCACTGCACCTGGCAGAAAAGCTGTCAGAGAGACTCCTGGGTCCCATTTAGGGGGGAAAGGGCCTTTACTGCTCAAGGGAGCTGGCTCTGCCCATGGCCCAGTGTACAAGCTCCCTACTCACAGGGCTTATCTACGGGAAGCCCCTTTCTGGGCCCACCTCCCATGGGTGCCTGTGTCACCAGGCTTCCTTGGCTTTGTCTGAGGACCCCTGCCCGGGGGGAGGACCCTGGGACTCTCAAGGCCAAGCTCACTTTAGGGATGAATCATGACGTGCAGTTTGGAGGCCTGCACAGCTCATCACCCGGTGGGAAGCAGTGCTTGGGTTGCTTGCCCTGGATGGCACCCCACGGAGACCCAGGGGTAGGACACAGGACTGCAGGGGAAGGCCGCCTTCCTGAGGGCAGGGTCTTAGGGGCCACACATTTACCCTAAGGGCACTATTATGGTCCACACCACTCCTGGGCTCCTTGCTGCACAGCACGCTCGGAGACCCTGTCTCTTTCTTCCGGATCTCCTCAGGGGCCGCGAATCTTCCTCTTCCAACAGAAAATGGTCAAAAGGCATATGGGGCCATAGCTTGTGAGGAAGGTGGGTGAAATGGGGGTCACAAACGAGATGACGCTATAACAAAAGGGGACGACTTACAGGGGACAGAAAAGAGCTAACTTTGATTCTGAAGACAGATCCCAGAGGGGAATCGGAATTCTGAGTAATAATGTTTTCAGAAAAATTTCTGGCCTCTCAAGGTGACTATTTTGAAAGCAAAGATATGTAACTGGGTGAAAGCGAAGGTCTGCCACCAAGATCCAGCAAGTGGCAGAACAGATTTTGGCTCAATATAGGGAAGAACTTTCTAACAGTCAGCACCGTCCAACCACGGCAGGAGCTGCCTTGGGGATGGCGCACTACCTATGAGCTGAGGTATGCAAGCAGGCCAAGGTGATCACTTGCTGGTGCCCAGGGAGAGGCGCTCATCCTCAGATGTGCTGGGGTGTTCTAGGGGTGGGGGAGGGAGAAATAATCATCGAATTATTTCTAACCCTGAGAATCCATAATATATTTGTTTAAAATGACCTGTTTCAATGATACCTCAAATTTTTGGGAAAACAATGACAAAAGTCAGGAGACAGACTGGATTTGGAAGCGCCTTTCATTACACTGGCTCCAGACTCTTGCACATCTTTGCAGAGATAGCAGACCCTTTCTGAAGCCAGGAATCCCTTGATTCAGCCCCATCAAGAGGCACATTCCTACCTTCTGAACTCTGCCTGGACACTCATTCCTCTAGACCCTGCCACACCTCATCTCTGTCCCCCAGGAGGGGACACTAACAGGGCTCTGAGAATGCATGGCATTCCAAGCCAGCCAAACACGGTCACCCCTGGGCAAACATTCACAATTATCGATGCACCCTAGGGAGGGAGGAGCAGGTGTGACAGGAACTGCTGGGGACTTTATGTCGTGGTTAACTAGAGGTAGCCTCTTGTTCTCATCCCATCCTCTCCAGCAGGGCCTTCTTACAGATGGATAAACGCGACACTGGCTAGTGGTACAGATGGGTGGCGCCCAGGAGAAAGCCGCCACTCCTTTGTCCCGGCTGGAAAATCCTCCTGTGGCCTCCTTTAGTACACATCAGCTGACTCTTCACTTGTCACAATAGCCCATCTGCAGCTCAAAATGGCAAGAAAAAAGGTGGTTCTGTTCAGAGGACAATGGATTCCAAAAGGTGGACTTCATCATGGGGGGAATCAAGTCCTGCTACACAATTAATACAGATTAGTACAGTCCCCTGCCTCGCATCACTGGCGAGATGCCCTCCAAGACCTGGCTGACATGAGCTTCTTGGGACTCCCCGTCTCCAATGCTGTTGGGGTCCTTTTACCTGTACCGTATTAATCGAATAATCTTATTGTTCATAAAATCCAGAGCGTGTGGGTGAGAAGAATCGATGCAGAAGCCATCGCTCAGAGCGATTTTCAGTACCTCCTCCACGAAGACCTGGAAGCTGTTGATCTGCTTGTTGGCAGGCACCACCCAGAGCCTCTTGAGGTTCTGCTTGGTGTACTCCTCCTCTGGCAGGCCCTCCACATTGGCCACCCAGTCCAGAGTCAGGTGGTTGGGGTCCTGCAAGTGGCTGGTGATGGACGAGAGATTGCCATTGGAGCAGTAGTAGAGCTTAGAGCCAAGGAGTTTGAGGAAGAGGCAGGAGGTGCTGAAGATGTTGGCGTTGAACACCTCCATGCTGGAGGAGGAGAGGCTGTAGATCTGGGGCGCCTCGCGCACAGTGAAGTGGACCGTCTGCACGTGCTGGTTCAGTGTGATGTTGAGCATAGCATTCTTCTCGGCCTTGGAGAGCTCCACTTCCTTCTCCTGCAGGGCCTCAATCAGGGGCTGCACCTGGTAGAAGTCGGCCTCCCTGCGGAGCAGGCCCATCTCCTGGAAGTCCTCGGGCAGGTCAAGGTGGGAGGTCCGCAGAAAGTTGAGGATATAGCGGAACACTTTGCCGTCACGGTCAATGAAGCAGTTGCCCTGGCTGTCCCTCTTGGTGGGCATCTTCCCGCTGAACATGGCACCTAGCATGGAGTCAGGGAAGCTGGTCAGGGTTGCCAATGAGGTTGTATAGAGCTTCCCCCCGACGTTCAGCGTGATGGGGTCGGACATGGCAGGAGACTGGGTTGCTGGAAGTGGCCCTGGAGAGGGTGACAAGTGAGAAATGACTATAACCAAACCTCATCTGAGAATTCACAGTCCTTAACTCCTTATTGTACATCAAGCCTATGCCCTTGGGATTGAAATGAATTAATACCTGATGAATGGGTGATAATTGTTAACACTGTGCAAAGTACATTAGCTTCACTAGGGAGAAAGGAGAAAGGGAAAAGGAAACAGGAAAAGAAAGGAAAGGACCCCTAAAGCCTGGGTCCCCCTGCCGATGTTCTGTTCTAATTGGTCTGGAATACTGCCCCAGCACTGGTTTTTTGAAAGAGTTCCCTTAGTGATTCTAAATGTTCAGTTAGAATAGAGAACCACTGGTCTAAAGAAAGAAAGGAAAACGCGCCTGGACTGAAAGCTATGCTACGTGTTTATACATATATTTGCTTGCATAATAGTTCTATCAGCTGGGCACGGTGGCTCACGCCTGTAATCCCAGCACTTAGGGAGGCTGAGGTGGGTGGATCACCTGAGGTAAGGAGTTCAAGATCAGACTGACCAATATGGTGAAACCCCATCTCTACTAAAAATACAAAAATTAGCTGGGCATGGTGGCAGGCACCTGTAATCCCAGCTGTTCAGGAGGCTGAGGCAGGAGAATCGTTTGAACTCAGGGGGTGGAGGCTGCAGTGAGCTGAGACTGCACCATTGCACTCCAGGCTGGGCAACAAGAGTGAAACTCTGTCTCAAAAAAAGAAAAGTTGTATTATCTTTTGACATAGACAATATAATCATCCATCCCTGTCGTGCAGATGAGGAAAACTGTGCCAGGATTCATTCCTCAAGCTCAGAAAGGCGAAGTGCCTCGCCAGGATTCAAACTCAGTTTCCTTTATATGAAAGAAAAATGTGTAAATGCTTACTAGCCAAAGATCGGTATGTTCTAAGTACTCAACAAATGGTCTGAGATTTATGCATCCAGGCTCAGTGCTCCTCCTTCTGTACCAATGACACTGCTGAATTTAATTATTTTTCTCTCAAAGATTTGACAACGAATGGCCATGATTAGTGTCATTTCCATCTATCTTCAAGGCCCACAGTAGGTCATTCAGCTGTCCGGACTGCAAATGACAATCCTTTCTAGACTTTCACTGCTCCCATGCTGACTTGCCTTGCCATGAAAATGCTCTTGGCTCCTGGTGGCCTGTCCTTTGCTGTCATAACACCCCAAGCTTCTCTGAAACTGGCTGCAAGGTCAGTGCAAATGCAGGACTCTGTCAGAGCACCCTCCTGAAGGTAACCTAGCCACTCCTTAACAAAGCCCCCCGATCTCCCAGCTGTCAGCATCTATGGCTGGCGCATCTCCTTCACCACATGTTCTAGAAAACAGGAGATCTCAGTTGCAGCTTCCAACACTATACCATCCCCAGAGCCAGCCTGTGGACAGACTCGGTCATCCTTCCCCTACATGGCAGGTAGGGATGCCAACAGGAACTGGCCCCAGGATTACCCCCAGAAGAGCCTGTGCTGGTAGAGGAGACAAGAGAGAATGAAGGCACAGTGACAAGACAGGTAGAAGATGTGGGAGACCATTGGGAATGAACCTTGGTCCATCAAAAACTATCTGGCTGGCAGACACAGTGGCTCACACCTGTAATCCCAGCACTTTGGGAGGCCGAGGCGAGCTCAGGAGTTTGAGACCAGTCTGGCCAACATGGCGAAACCCTGTCTCTACAACAACAACAACAACAACAACAACAACAAAGCAGGGTGTGGTGGCAAGTACCTGTAGTCCTAGCTACTTGGGAGGCTAAGGTGGGAGGATCGCTTGAGTCTGGGAGGTCGAGGCTGCAGTGAGCCGTGATTACGCCACAGTACTCCAGCCTGGGAGACAGAGTGAGACCTGGTCTCAAAAAACAAATAAACAAAAACCCATCCTGCCAAGCATGCTTACTGTCTAGATGGAGAAACAGAGGTTTGAGGAGGCACCTCCCCAAAGTTACCCAGCAGGGGTGGCAAGAACTTCTCAACATTTCTGCCTCCTGAAGAGGCTGACTGCACTGAGGCCTCCTTTCTCCAGAGGATGGGGGCCATGCCAGTGTGAGATATTCGGCTGCCATGCTCGACTCTCTGGCGGGGGCAGGGGTATGTCTCCTCATGAGTCCTCCCCAGTCTAACAGGGCACTTTGATATTGTAGAAAGGCATTCCCCATCTGGAGTGTTTGAGGAGAAATGAGCCCATGTGAAATACAAAATTGTCAGTAGAAGCCTGGAGCAGATGGGCTGTGAGACGGTGGGGAGGTCCCACAGAGGTGTGGGCGAGCCGCCACTGGGGGCGTGGCTGCTGCTGTGGAGACTGACTGCCAGGCAGCAACTGGGGAGGGTGCTGTGACTCAGGGCTGAATCTGGCCAATTCTGTCTCCAGAGGGCCCAGGCAGGAGCTGGACCCAGGAGTGGGTCCCCTTTACTTAGTCCAGAATCTTCTTCCCTGTTGCCCTCTTTTTATTCTTTCTGGATAGAAATGTGCATGTTCTAGTTTCAGTCTCTCTTTCTCCTCGAAAACAAACACCCCCCTCCCAACACTGGGTTTCAGGCCCAGGCTCTGTGAAGTGGTTCAACTCCATGGCAGGAAAAGGAGCAGGTATCAGAGAGGACATGGACAGTTCCATGGTCCACAGACCCTTATCTCTTCCATGCGTTAGTGCTGAAGTGCTCAGAGCATTACAGGCAGGGGAGGTCAGGAGCAACAGGGCATTCCCTGGGACCCCTGGATAGGTGCCCAAACTCCTATTTCTCTGCTTGCAAAAGCAGCAGAGCACCTGCTTTCCTGTGCCCCCGATGATGTCATGGCTCCCAGTCATTTGTCTGGGGAGAGCAGCACAGTTGTACAGGCAGTCAGGGCAGACGCTGGCTAGCAGGCAGGTCTCCTGCTCCGAGTATAGGAAGCTCTCTGTGGTAATCTCCCCTTACCTATTGAGTCACAGAGCTCAGTCCTCCAAGCCCTTCTTTTTTTTTTTTTTTTTAGACAGAGTCTCGCTGGCACCAGGCTACAGTGCAGTGGTGCGATCTCAGCTCACTACAACCTCTGCCTCCCAGAATTCAAGCGATACTCCTGCCTCAGCCTCCCAAGTAGCTGCGATTACAGGCACATACCACCACACCTGGCTAATTTATTTTTGTATTTTTAGTAGAGATGGGATTTCACCGTGTTGGCCAGGATGGTTTCGATCTCTTGACCTCGTGATCTGTCTGCCTTGGCCTCCCCAAGTGTTAGGATTATAGGCGTGAGCCATCGTGCCTGGTCTAAGCCCCTATTTTCTAGTCACAAGGCCACAGTGTCCATCATCACAAATCTACGGCCCTGCTACAAAAGGCACAATGACACGACACAAGGGGAGCTTCATGAGTCGGCGGAGGTTTGCAGTCAGGTAGTGGGAACTAACACCGCTGAGCCTCAGCCCCCCATAGCTTCCCAGCTGCCTCCTGGCCACCTCCACCTGGATATTCTGCAAGCGAGGCACGAGAACAGGGTCTGGAGACATGGAACCGGGCCAATTTGTGCTAACTTCATGAAAGAGAAAACACCAAGGTCTGGGGGCAAAAAATCTGAGGCCAATTCTGCTGACTTCCCAAAGCTGGATCAAAAGGAAAACCCTGGGTCTGGGGGCAGGGACCCTAAGGCCAATTAACACCAAATTCCTAAAGCTGAACCAAGAGGAAAAACCCCATCTCCCCAGCTGGGTGACAAACGATCAAAACGCTTCTCTCCCAGCAACCCTCCCACTCCACCATGTCTCAGATGGAAAGGGAGGGGGCCTTAGATTGGGACCATCCCTCTATCTGCATAGGGTGCCCATTCACTTCAGCCTTTAATTAGCCACAGACTAAATCCTTCGTCCAGATAAGGGGTAGCTGATAAGAACCTCAAATGGGGTACTTAAAGCCCAGAGAACTTTGTAACTGGGCCTTTGAGTTCCTTGCTCCGGCACTCCTACCCTGTGGAGTGCTTTCTCACTTTAATTCCTGCTTTCGCTGCTTCGTTCCTGCATTTCATTCCCCTGCTACTCTTTTTATTATTATTTTTAGTAGAGACAGATTTCACTATGTTGGCCAGGGTGGTCTTGGACTGACCTCAACTGATCCGCCGATCTAGGCCTCCCAAAGTGTGGGGGTTACCACGTCCAGCCCCTCTGCTACTTTGTTCAAAATGCCAAGGACCTGGACAACTCATAGTCAAGACCCTCCACCAGTAACACAGGTACCAGAAGCCTCACCTGTGCATTCCTCTGCCCCTAACTCTGCTGTGAACTCTTCTCAGCCACCCAACTGCCTGAGGGAGGCAGCCCCAACTCCAGCCCTACAGGTTGTCTTGACTGTCTCCTTGAACCCATCCCTATAGCTACTCCCAGAGCTCAGGCCTCATCCCTGCCCCCTTCACCCCTACATCCTCACTCGGCTCCCTGCCTTCTGTCTACCTTCCTTTCTGGTCTGCAGACCTCCCTGAAGCACCGGCCCTGCCCAAACCACCTTCCTCTTCCCCTCTCATGTCTAACCCTGACCTCCTCCACACACTCCGGACACCACTGAGTCAGTCTCCTTCATGCTGTCACCTGCTCTGCCTTTGCTGTCCCTAGACCACCCTTGTCTACCTTCTCTCTGCTGTCTACCTTTCAGGCCCAGCCTATGAGTCATCACCTCTGTATGGCTGTCCCCAATCTCCAGCAGGTTAACAGCTCTCCTCTCAGGGCTTCCTGGTGCCCTGCACAACCCCCTCTGGCAGCACTCACCGTTCCATCTGCAGTGATCTGCTTTGCACATAGCCCTCTTCCCTGGCTCTATCAAAATGCAGATCAGTGGACATCCATATGGGGAAAAAAGAACCTTGGTCCATCTCTTATGCCATATATGAAAAATAAACTCAAAACAGATCATAGACCTAAATATAAAATTTAAAACTACACAACTTCTAGGAGAAAATCTTTGCAACTGTGGATTAGGCGAAGATTTCTTGGATAGGACCTAAAAGGGACAAACCATTAAAAACATCAATAAACTAGACTTCATCCAAATAAAAAACGTCTGCTCTTCAAAAGACACTGTTAAGGAAATGAAAGAATAAGACACGGAGAAAATATTTGCAAAACACCTATCTGATAAAGGATTGTCAACCAGAATATATAAAGAACTCTCAAAACTCAGTAACTCAGTAAGAAAATAACCCAATTAAAAAACTGACAAAGCTGGGTGCAGTGGCTCATGCCTGTAATCCCAGCACTTTGGGAGGCTGAGGCGGGCAGATCACTTGTGGCCAGGAGTTCAAGAACAGCCTGGCCAACATGGCGAAACCCTATCTCTACTTAAAAAAAAAAAAACAACCAGACTAAAGATCTAACAAATACTCCAGCAAAGAAGATATGTAGATGACGACAATCACATGAAAAGATGGTCAATATCATTAGTCATTACAGTATGAAAATTGAAACCACAATTACATGCTACTATACACCTATTACAGTGGCTCATATGAAAACTGACAATGCCAAATGAAGGTGAGTAGACAGAACAATGGAAACCTCATACACTGCTGGCAAATGGTAACCACTGTTGAAAATAATTTGGCACATGGTATGGTTTGGCTGTGTCCCCACCCAAATCTCACCTTGAATTGTAATAATCCCCATGTGTCAAGGGCAGGACTAGGTGGAGATGATTGAATCATTGGGGTGGTTTTCCTCATGCTGTTCTTGTGATAGCGAGTGAGTTCTTAAGAGATCTGATGGTTTTATAAGGGGTTTCCCCTTTGCTTGGCACTTCTCCTTGCTGCTGCCATGTGAAGAAGGACATGTTTGCTTCCCCTTCTGCCATTATTTTAAGTTTCCTGAGGCCTTCCTAGTCCTGTGGAACTGTGAATCAATTAAACCTCTTTCCTTTATAAATTACCCAGTCTCGGGTATGTCATTATTAGCAGTCTGAGAATGGACTAATACAGCATACGATTATCCCATGACGCAATGACTCTGCTCCTAGATATTTCAGCCATAGAAATGGAGACATATGTCCATGCAAAGACTCATATGTGAATGTTTATGGCAGCTTATTCATAACTGCCCAAACTCAGAAACAACTAAAATGTAAACAGATAAACAAATTGTAGTACATCCATACAATAGAATATGACTCAGCAATATATAGGAACTACTAAAAGACATTACCACATACCTGAATTTCAAAAGCATTACATCAAGTGAAAGAAGTCAGCCTCAGAAGGTTACATGGTGCATGATTCTATTTGTATAACATTCTGGCAAAGGCAAAACTATAAAGACAGAAATCAGATTAAGCGAATTCCCGGGGCTGGGTTGGAGAGAAAAGACTGGCTACAAAGAAACACAAGGCATATTTTGGAGTGATGGGAATATTCTATTAGGTTGGCACCAAAGTAATATGATGTGGTGGTGGTCAAATGTCTTTATAAAGGCTGTCAAAATTCATGTAACTGTACACATCTAAAAGGGTGAATTTTGGCCAGCTGTGGTGGTTCATGCCTATAATCCCAGTACTTTGAGAGGCCAAGGCAGGAGGGTCACTTGAGCCCAGGAGTTCAAGACCAGCCTGGAAAACATAGTGAGACCTGTGTCTCAATTAAAAAAAAAAAAAAAAAACAAAAAGGGGGTAAATTTTACCATACGTAAGTTTTACCTCCATAAACAGGAAAAAAATGAAGGTTGTGACCTACTGGCAAGTCACGACATCAATACAGTTAAGTGGGCTGTGACCAATTATATATTGTTGTGAACCTTTTGTTTCAGTTGGGTGTCCATGAACTGGATCATGGTATCTTCATCCTGTGGGTGACAAAACTATTTTTTTTGGGAACCACTGCCTAGTTTGTGGGCTGAGAGCAACTGCATGTCTCACGTCTGCATAGTCACCGCCTTGCACTCGGGGGAGGGGTTGTGGGATACTGTGATATAATAAGCAATATACATTTTAGATTTGTCCCCAGCTGTTGGCCAGGGTTAAAAACACTGTAATTTCCCTAGTGATAATAGCTATAGGAACTTCTTCTATTTTAATAATTGATTTTGTCCCAGTAGGTGGAGGTTGCAGTGAGCCAAGATTGTGCCACTGCACTCTGGTTTGGGTGACAGAGCCAGGCCTTATTCCAAAGCCCGCCCACCCCCCAATTAATTATAGTTGTTATGTTGTCCTAATCCAAATCTCAATAGTATTTTTCAAAAAAGATTTAAATAATTAAAATTTTAATCTGGAAGCACTGATGACTGATAACCTGAAAGAATATTTGAATAACACATCTTAGCACAATGTATTAAAACCAGATTATAAAGCAATGACATTTCACTCCGTGGTTTTAAAACAATGAGAAGAGAAGGAATTTGGTAACAAATGTGAAGAGACACAACTAGCAATGTTTAAAAATAAACCTATTGATAAAGATATTGATCCTTACAACTCTGGGACCCAGGCAGGACTGATCACATTGTCTTTATTTCAAAGACAACCTAAAGCAGACCCAAAGAGTGTGAATCCCTTGCCCAGGGCTTCATGTGCATTCTTGATCTCAGAGTCATGGCGTCTGGGAAGTTCTGGTTTGGACACCCTTCAGAGAACCAGTCCTTTAGAGGTCTTCGGCAGGAAGCTGAACCCAGCCACAGAGGGCCTAGCCAACAGCCTGTATACTCATGGCGACCTGGAGTAGGCAAAGGCTCATTTCTGTGCAGTTTCCTTTTTTCCTACATTACTGTCCACTTCCATAATCAGCATTACTTCCATAATCAGCATTACTTCCATAGTGAAATGACTTACCATGCAATCCTGTCGGTGGGGACTAGCTGTTGTAACAATAAACGTACTGAGTAATGAAAATTGTCCATCTATCATCTATCAGTCAATCACCTATCCATCATTTCCTAGCTGTGCTCACTCAGAGAGCCTAGAAATGACACCCAGTAGCAATAAACACACCTAGCCCTGGATCTTTGTTTCTGAATGTCATCATCTCTTCTAAAAGAAACCAGGGCTTCCTGGAGAAACTGATGATTCCTGAACTTTTACAGGAAAAGTTCAAGGTGAGTTCATATAAACCAATGATTTAAAAACAAACAAACAAACAAACAAACAAAACAAAGAGTCCAGGATGGGTGCGGTAGCTTATGCCTGTAATCTCAGCACTTTGGGAGGCCGAGGCAGGCGGATCACCTGACGTCAGGAGTTGGAAGACCAGCCTGGCTAACATGGCAAAACCTCATCTCTACTAAAAACACAAAAAAATAGCTGGGCGGGGTGACGCGTGCCTGTTATGCCAGCTACTTGGGAGACTGAGGCAGGAGAATCGCTTGAACCTGGGAAGTGGAGGTTGCAGTGAGCCAAGATCGCACCACTGCACTCCAGCCTGGGCAACAGAGTGAGACCCTGTCTCAAAAACAAACAAACAAACAAAAAACAGAAGTCCATAATGTTATTCCCCAAAGAGAGGGTGAGAAGAAGGGAGTGAGAAAGATAGAGACAGGGAAAATTTATTCTATAAAAAAGAATACTAGCTAATAAACACAGAAGGAATGGTAGAATTAGAAAATTACCAATTTGCAACCCTCAGTGTTGCTATTCAAGCAAGGATGATCCAGGGATGTGGTGTGAAAGGTTATCAGGAACACATAATTATAACAGACTCAGAGAATCACTTCACAGATTACTTATTAATTGTAAGAGAGAAAAATGTACCCTTACGATAGAGAGATCAGGTTGCCATGATCTTACCTAATAATCAAATGTAGCATTCATGGATACTAAGACCCTGACATCATATTCTCCTGACATGCAGTAAGTACACATATTGCCAAAAACTCAAATCTAACCCAAATCTAATCATTGATAAACCAATCAAACATATTTAAATAGGTGGAGAAGCTCTATTTATTTATTTACTTATTTGAGATACAGTCACACTCTGTTGCCCAGGCTGGAGTGCAGTGGCACAATCTCGGCTCACTGCAACCTCCATCTCCCGGGTACAAGCATCTCCTGCCTCAGCCTCCTGAGTAGCTGGGAGTATAGGCACGCACCACCATGTCCGGCTAATTTTTGTATTTTTAGTTGAGATGGGGTTTCACCATGTTGGCCAGGCTGGTCTCAAACTCCTGACCTCAAGTGATCCGCCCATCTTGGCCTCCCAAAATGTTGGGATTACAGACATAAGCCACCGTGCCAAGGGGCTCTATTTAGATTAAATGAGTTGATAAAAGAGATATAATAAAATGCAATATGTACATCTTGACTGGATCTGATTTTAAAAACCAGAAACTATATACGGTATTTTTGGGCAATTATAATTTTTTTTCTTTTTTGAGACCGGGTCTTACTCCGTCGCCCAGGCTGGAGTGCAGTGGTGCAATCATGGTTCATTGCAGCCTTGACATCCCCAGGCTCAGGTGATCTTCCCAAGTAGCTGGGACTACAGGTGCATGCTACCACATCCTGCTAAATTTTGTAGTTTTTGTAGAGATGGGGTTTCACTATGTTGCCCAGGCTGGTCTTGAACTCCTGGGCTCAAGCAATCTGTCCGCCTTGGCCTCCCAAAGTGCTGGGGTTACAGGCATGACCCATTGCACCTGGCAGAAAATTTTTAATAACTATTACATTGGGTAATACTGACTTCTTGCTTATAATGCATAATGTATTATGGTTATGTAGTAGAATGTCCTTATCAGGGATACATGTTGAAGAATTTAGGGGTCAAACGTCAATAAACATGTCTGTAACTTACTTTTAAACATGGCCCAAAAAGTGTGTGTTTGTGTAAAAGCACAATTGGCAAATTGTGAATTGGCGTATCTAGGTTAAGGGTTGTACTTTAAGCTTTAATGTAAGCTTGAAAATTTTAAAAATATTTGTATTTTAAAAGAAGGGAGAAGAATACATCCTTCATAGGGCCAATAGATGTAAAGTTACAGTCACAGTGCCAGACCCCAATAAATAGCCAGACTTAATAAGTTACAGATTTACTACTACTACTTAGAAGTGTGAAAAGTTCATAATTTTCCTTCCCGAGTGTTGCTGAATTTTGAAGGGTGAGGATGCCAACCAGGGCTAAGTGGCGGAGGAGTTAGAATCTAAGTCCGGGTGGGCAGTCTGGATAGACCCACTACCCACAGAAACCACACCACTAGGCCATTTTTTTTTTTTTTTTTTTTTTTTTTGAGACGGAGTTTCACTCTGTCACCCAGGCTGGAGTTCAGTGGCATGATCTCGGCTCACTGTGACCTCCACCTCCCAGGTTCAAGCGATTCTTCTGCCTCAGCCTCCTGAATAGCTGGGATTACAGAAGCGTGCCACATGCCTGTCTAATTCTTGTATTTTTAGTAGAGACAGGGTTTTCACCCTGTTGGCCAGGCTGATCTCAAGCTCCTGACCTCAAGTGATCCACCCACCTCGGCCTCCCAAAGTGCTGGGATTACAGGCGTGAGCCACTGTGCCCGGCCAGGCCTGCCTATCTTCTGTGCTGTGATTCTGCCTGGGAGAAGATGGCTGTTCAGGCCTTGTTTTTCCTGCCTCGTCATGAACCCAGAATCTCTGTACCCCAGCAGGAAAGAAACTCCTGTCATGACTCACTGTGAATGTTGACAAAGGCCACTCCGGGCCTCAGAAATGTCAAGGATGGGCAGAAAGAACTGGAGAGAGGCCAGGCGCAGTGGCTCATGCCTGTAACCCCAGCACTTGGAAGGCCCAGGTGGGAGGATCGTTTGAGTTCTGGAGTTTGAGAGACCACCCTGGACACCATAATGAGACCTCGTTTCTACAGAGAAAAAAAAAGTTAGATTGCTTGAGCCTGGGAGGTCAGGCTGCAGTGAGCCGAGATCACGCCAGTGCACTCCAGCTTGGGCAACAGAGCAAGACCCTGTCTCAAAAGAAAAAAAAAAAAAAAGAAAAGAAAAAATAGAACTGGAGAGGCTGTGTGGGGTAGGCGCAGACCATGCAAGGTATTCGGCATTACTTGGGTTTGTATTTGAATCATCCCCTGCCCCTTACTAGCTGTGCAGCCCTAGGCACGTTCCTGGGCAGATGATGATTGTAACAATAACAAACACTACAACAGTAATAATAATGGCTAACATTTATTGAGCAGTTATTACCGTGCTAGGTACTTTATACATGTTAATCTCTTTCAGTCTCACAGATGAAGTAGATACTATTACATACCTACTTTACAGACCAACCATACCAGGCCCTCTTCAACTTCTGCAATTTGGCATCTGCCATCCCCTCTGCCTGGACCTTGAAGACAAATCCCATGCGTCGGCCAGGTCTCTCAGCTGGAATTCATTCCTTCTCTGCATCTGCGGAGAATTTTATTCTAACCCCTTACCACCGCCAACTTTACTTAAGTAAATGGATGCCTGGCTCCCCTGCTGGGGCTGGGGGTGCCCCTTTCTATATCCACAGAAGCATGCAGAATAGGGAAAGAGGAAGAAATTTCTCTCCTGTTTAGTCAGATCCATTTTCCCCACCTGGATTTTTAAAACTTTCTAATTTTGAAATGCTCTCTTGAATTTTCAATCTGAAATCTAAAGGCATGTGACAAGGCCGAGGTGATTACTTGGGAGTAAATGCAAGAGTTTCCACTACGTAAGGGAATGGATAGCAAGTGGCTGGGTAAATTTCAAGAAAGACAATGCTCAGAGTGACTACTGTGTCTTCCAGTAAGTCGGAGACTTCCCCACCTTACCCCACCGGGGAAAGGACTCTGCCTTGAAGCCCTCAGGACGACTACCCTTTCTTCACCTCCCCTTCCTGATCACCCCACATCAGACAGCTGCATCTATAATTGTCTTGCCCAGTCCATATCTCTAAGAAGCCCATAGGCTGCTCTATTACCATCACAACCCATAGGTAGGGAGAGAAAAGGTGCTTTAGACACAGGGACCCCAGAATGAGTTGCGCAAAAGGCAGGAGGAGAGAGAGGTGGGCTGGAAGAAGGACACCACAGAATCTGGCACGGCAAGGTATTCTTTCACCTGGCGTAGACCTCCAACCACCACTACCATCCCCTAACCCCTTCCAGAACTTTCCTTCACCTTCTCAGCTCACTCTCACGCTTCAACTTGTGCTTTTCCTCAGGCACCAGCACCCCATTTCAAACTGCTCTCTTCCTACCGTCTCCTCCAAACAGTAAGTTATAAACACTGTGCTTTCAAATCCATCTCATTTCATCCTCACAGTACCATACGAGGGCTGCCTTACAGGCTGCCATTCGGAAGGGTTGGGGGGACTGGTCCTGCCAGAAAATTTTTTGCGAAGGTCAGGGCATCAAAACTTTTCTTTCTTTCCTGCCTGCCATGCCAAGCTAAACCCCTGCCTCCCCGAGTGCAGGGAAAAAAGCAAGGTATTTGAAGTAAGGAGTCCTGAGTGGTTTTAGGCAAGTCCCTTCTGAGTCTCACATTCCTCACCTGTCAACTGCTATGGTGACGCCTCTACTTTCCAGGGCGTAAGAGGTCAAGGAGATCACGGGTGTGCCGCACTGAGCTCGGGGATGGACTCTATTTCCAGTCAGTAAAGGGAGGTGTTCTATGCATCACAGGCTTTTGCACACGCCGCCACAGCGCTGCCGGCCCAGGGCTCTCCAGACCGGGGCGAGTTCCCTGTCATCTGTGTCTCTGCCCTTCCTTCACCAGTCCCACCCAGGCTGGCCTCGTCGGCTTTTTCCGCACCCACTCCCCAGTTCTAGAGCCCCGACTCCAACCTGACAAGTGCCCCACCCCGACCCAGATACCCCGCCCCTCCTTGTCCCACCCACCAAGGACTACTCCCACAGTCCCGACCCTCATTATCCGGGCTTTTCCGACTATCACCATCCGCCCTAGCTCCTCCCACCAGCCCCACCCCTCTAAGAGCTCTGCCCCCTTCGGCTCACCTCGCGCCGAAACGCGCCCCCTCCCCCGCAGCCACAGGCACTGCCATCCCCATTTCACAGATGGGAATGGCGAGGCTGGGATAGATTAGTCTCATGGTAAGACAGGTGCCCAGTGGGCCCATGTACCCTCGCCGGTAGTCCCCGAGCCCCGCAACCCCGGCCGCGCCGCACCCACCTCCTGCCCTCGCTCTGCAGCCTCCCCTCCGCAAGCGGCCAGCGCAGCTTTGCGAGGAGGGCGGAGGGTCGGAGCCCAGCCCAGGGGCGTGGCGGTCCGGGGTCCGCGCGCCGCCTTCCGGGACTGGTAGTTCTCTCTGGGCTCTTCGCAGCTCGTTGCGTCGAGAGCGAACTCCATCTCCCAGGAGGCATTGCTGCGAGTTGCTCTGCGCCCCGCCTCGTCCCCGCCGGTGTCCGGCTGGCTGGCCTTAAAGGGGACGCGGTCAGAGTGGCAGCTCGCGGGGTGGCCCTCGCTCCGGCTCCGCCCCATTTACAGCACCTCGCCCCTCCCCACGCTTCGTCCCGCAGCCCCGGGGCCGCGCCGCACAGTCGGGCTCCCTGGGTGCATAGAGCCTTGTGCCAGGCAGGGTGGGAAGACTGGATTTTGCAGTGGAAGCAGCATCTCTTCCATCTGGGACCTGGCTGAGGGCGTCCCCACCCTGGGGGGAGCAGAGGACCAGCCCTGACCTAGCCGGGCCCAGCCCTGTCCTGCCCGGCCGGAGCGCCCCGCCCAGCAGCCGGCTCTGCGGCAGGGCCCACCCGGGTCCGGGAGGTAAGGGGGTTGGGGGCGTGTGTCTGGCTTTGGGGGGCGGTGTCTGCACACAGGCGTTTCGAGAACCCTGGACTTGCGAGCCCAGGGCTGGGATTCGGGAGATGTGGGTGCATCCTGGGCCTCACTGTGTGACCTTGGGCGAGTAGCTACTCCTCTCTGGGCATTAACCCCCTCCTTCTCCTATTGTATGTCGAAGTGATCCTGCTCCCTCCCCTTTCAGGTAAGAGGACATTCGCACCCAGGACCCAGTCCATTCGCTCGCTGGCTTTTCGTGGGGCCCTCCAGCTCAAGCGTGGGCTGGGCGGGGGTGCGCTGGAGGGAGGCAGGTGGCCGAGCTGGGGCACAAACTGGGGGGCCCGAGGCCACCATTGTTTGGAATGGGTTTTTCCTATTCTCAGCATGCTGGGCCCTGGGATACCCTCCCCCAGCCCCGCTTACGGCTCTGGCCCTTGCAAACCCGAGACCCTGATGTGTCAGTTTGGTGCACTTCTTCCAGAAAGCTTGGGGTGGAGTGCGGCCCTCACAGGTTTGTGAGGGGTGGCCCCGCAGGGATAGGTGTGTGTGGTGGGTTCCTGAGGAGGAAGAGCTGTTCCTGCTTTCTTCCCTTGTCTCTCCTCCTTATCCTTTAAGGAAGAGCAGTTGCTTTTTACCAGTGAAACCCTTTTTTCTTTTTCTTTTTTTTCCAGGAGACAGTTTGGTGGCCCAGACATGGGCCTCCCAGAGTAGGGTGAAGCACTTCTTCCCAGGGTTGCCTTGGGTAGAAGTTCAGTTAAAAAATACCTAGAGAGATGCTGCCATTCAGACACCTGAGGGGCCAGAGATGGAGGGCACCACCTAGTGTCGGGAGGGGCAGCCTGGTACCCCCAGGCAGCTCTGGCTCCCAGGGGAGTCAAAGGAGGGAGGCTGGCCGCGAGGGTCAGAGAGGGGAGAAAATGAGCTCCTCAGCTCTTAGGTGCTGAGCAGGGGCTGGGAGGGGCTGCTCTGACCTGGAGCAGGGAGAGGTGGAGTAACGCCATGAAGCCTTCTTTTCAGGTCCTAGGAGATACCGTGAGCTTTTGACCTGAAGGCTAACCAGGAACAGATTTTTTTTTTTTTTTTTGGTTTTGTTTTTTTTATTTTGTGCTTTTTCTTTTGCTTTGGTGGTTTGAATGATTTCTAGAATGGCTAAAGCCTCAGTCCAGTCCAGTGACCTCTGTAGGGGCTTTCTTGGCTGATGTTTAAGATTTTCAGGGTTTTTGATATGCAAGACCAGGTCTGGGCAAAGGAGGGGGCGGTGACTGGACCAAAGTTTAGGCCAGTTTCTGGAAGGTACTTTTCTGGTCACATCCTTGGTTTTCTCTCATCTTGCTGTCACATGTCTCACATGAGTCGCTTGATGCACCTTCACTGACACCTCAGTCCTTGGTTCTACACTGGGCACTGGGCTCAGAGACAGGGATTGGACCTCTGCCAAGGGAGGTCCCAGCGTGGTGGGAGACAGACGTGGATTCCAGTTACACTGCAGAGGGATGAGGATAGCTAAGAGGGCCTTGGAGGCCAGAACTTTAGACACTTGAATTGTGGAGGGAAAAAGAAAGGCTTCCCAGAGGAGAGGGCATGTGACCTGGGCATTGAAGGGTGAGTCAGAATTTTTCAGGAGAGAAGAGGGAGAGGCCCTTTTTCAGTAGAGAGGACATTGTGCAAAGTAGCAGTCAGGAAAAAGCCCCCTGCCCCAATGTCTGCAGAGTCTCCACTGAACAATGTCGCTTGAGTTCACCTCCATCCCTGCCCCACATCAGCTGAGTGTCACAGAAAGGGCTTGCATGTCCGGCTCAGGAGTTTGGACCTTATTCTGGGTCCAAGGGGCTGGATAGTGTTGAGAGTTCTGAGCAGGGGCATGGGCGGAATGGTGCTTACCGTGTAATAAACTCCATCTGATGATGCTGCATGGTGGGTTGGAGAGACCGAGGAGGGATGATGAAGCCTGAGCGGGGGCCCAGGGCGTGGCATTGGGGCTGAGCATTGGAGTTGTGTACACACACACACACACACACACACACACACACTGGGTGCTTTGGGGTGATGGAGATAAGTCAGGCTTAACTATGCAGGAGCAGAGATCAGTCAACAATCAGCAGAGACGCTGAGGGTCATCTGAGAGGAACAGGTGAAGGGATCTGGGCCTTTTGGCGGAGGGATTGGGATTTTCCTGAGTGCTCACTGCGTGCTGTGGTGTGTGCTGGTGTTGCTGGGACCCCCCTCAGGCTGTCATGCCGGTAGGGCGAGGGGTATGAGGCAAGGGCTTGGGAGGAGCAGCAGCGCTGGCTGGGAAAGGCTAAGGGGTGGGCAGGTAGTCCCCTTCTATTTGGGCATTCCAAGGATCAGAGGTGAAAGAACACCTACCTCCATGGTGGCTGGGCTAGACTCGAAGCCTGGACTCTGTTCTCCAGGACACATGCCTCTGTTGGAGGTTGGATTGAGGGAGGGGATTGGGAGATGGGTTAGGAGGCCACTGCACTAGTCCAGGCAAGAAGTCAAGGGACTGATCCTGTGTGGGGCTGGGAACACCGAGGTGGCAGCGAGGGCTGATGGAGGAAGTGCCTTGGAGAATCAGCGGGATCAGCAGTGCGTGTCTCCTTGTCTCCTTTCCCTGACAGTGTCTGTGTCTCCCGTCAGTGCCAGGTGGCCCAAAAATAGACTCATGACTGCCCGGCCCTCATCTTTTTTATACCTTGTCTCAACCCTGTGAATGGCAGGCTTGGAATAGTCCCCATTTTCCAGATGAGAAGGCTAAGAAGCTGGGCAGGGACTCGCCCAAGGTCACCTGATGACTTTGAAGCAGAAAACCTGTGTCTTATGCTTTTCATGCAGGCTCTCCTGGGGGACGATACGGCTGCTGTTTGCTGCTGTGGTTGGTGCGGGGCAGCTGTCTCTTGAGTCAGAGCCAGCATGGACAGGCCATCTCCCCACCTGGGGCTTAGCAGGCTAATCCAGCCCTCCTGAGGGAGGCAGAGTGCAGGTTCTAATCCTGCCTTGCCAAGGCCATGTTCCTCTACCTCTCTGAGCCTCACTTTCCCCATTCCTGCCAGTGGGATAGCTGGCCTTGTCCTGCCTTCCCTGGCCTGATGGGGCCAGGTGAGGTGCAAGCCTCTAAAACCCTTTTGTGTGAGTGCATCCAAGATATTGAGTGGGTTTGCTGGTGACCATGGTGACAGCTGTCCTCAGACTGCCTGCGTGGGAGTTGGGGCAGGTGGGCAGGGCTTGCGTGCTGTGGCCAGGCTACAGACTGAGCAGAGGCTGCTAGCTGGCCTTGGAGATCAGAGCTCTCATGGAGCAGCTCTATTTGAACTGTCAGCTGCCAGCCTTATGTGGTATTAGGTAGAACAACATGAAATTGCCAACATTTGATCATTCAGTTTTATGTGGTTCAGTCTAATATCATTTGTCCCCATTTTACAGAAGAGAGGCTCATGGATATGATTACTGAGGGTCACACAGTGAGTCAGGGCTAGAATGTAGGACTCCTCATTCCTAGTCTGATATTCTTTCCACTCTTTCTGGTACTCTTTCTACTACCAGAGTCTTCCCTGTCCCCAGAACTCCATTTCTGCCTGCCCCTGTGCCCTCTTGCTTCACACATGATGCCAGTGCCTCATGGATTAGGGTTTCTTCTTGGCTGCCTGAGTGCCAGGATTTCTTGGCATCCTGGGTTGAAAGCATATGAAATCCACTAGCCATCCCAGGGGTCTGGGAGGATGGACTGTGTGTGTGAGAGAGGTTGGCCACAGCAACTGCCTTGTCACAGGCACCGTCTAGAAAGGGGACCAGGGCTGACGGGAGAGTTAAAAAAATTTTCTTTTTTTTTTTTTTTCTTTTGAAACAGGAACTCACTTTGTCATCCAGGCTGGAGTGCAGTGGCGTGATCTCAGCTCACTGCAGCCTTCACCTCCCAAGTTCAAGTGATCCTCCTATCTCAGCCCCAACTAGCTGGGACTGCAGGTGTGAGACACTGTGCCTGGCTAATTGATGTAATTTTTTTTTTTTTTTTGGTAGAGACGGGGTTTTGCCACGTTGCCCAGGCTGGTCTCAACCTCCTGAGCTCAAGCCATCCGCCCACCTCGGCCTCCCAGAGTGCTAAGATTACAGGTATGAGCCACTCTGCCCAGCTGGGAGACCAGTTTTTAAAGATACTTTATAGGCCTTTTCAGATTATGCCTTGCAGGGGCACCCTTACAAACATTTCTGCCTCCCCCATCAGACTGGAAGCTCCTTCAAGGCAAGGACTTTGCTTCTAAAGCAACAGGAGTTGACATTTTCTGAGAACCTCCTTGTGCCCAGCTCAGAGAGCCTAGGTAACCTTTATGGGAACCAGAATGTATCCCAGATGAGCCGCATTCAAAGAGTCAAAACAAAACAACAGAATTGAACACATCATTTCCCTCATTTCCTCATTCAGGAAGCTTAGGATGGACCCTAAACTTTTTTTTTT